AAGCTTCTCGAAATATTTTGCTTCCTAAAGAGAAATCAATTGTTTGTTTTTATGCATAAATCAGACACTCAAGAGAGTAGTGATGGAGAATGCAGAGCTAGAACGAGTGAAATGCTCCAATAGGTAATCTTCTACTCTCTTCCTATATATTGAAAAAAAAAATGGAAAAAGGCCTTTTCAAGAAAGAGAAGAGAGAGGCATAAAGACGCGAATGAGAAGAGCCTGAAACGCTGGCAGGCAGGACTGCGGCTCGAAAATTCGGTTAGAAGGTAAGGCATCAATCAAATCGTTTTACCACCGGGTCTAGGTCCTGCAAAGATGAACATGGAAATCTGGTAACAGATGTCCAGAGCTGAGATATGGAGGGAACACGCTTTTCAATGACGACACAGGTGGCGCGCTTGATGAGGGAGAACCCGAACCAATGTATTTGGATGTAGCTTACGTCCCCCTACTCGACCAAGATGCGGTGAGAATAGCAGTAAGGCGGCTTAAAAACAAGAAGGTCCCGGGCCCGCCGGTTTACCGGTTGAGCTGTTCACAGCCGGTGGCGAAGAGTCGGTGTGGGGCATGTACCAACTTTTAAGCAGAATTTGGTCTGATGAAGACATGCCCGAAGACTGGAATCTAAATGTACTTTGTCCAATCCACAAGAAGGGAGATCCCGCCGTTTTCGCCAACTATCGCGGAATAAGCCTTCTTAATATAAGTCCTGTCGGTGATACTGTGTGAAAGACTTATCAGCGTGGCTTCAGATTTTTACCGCACGTCAAATCCTGGAGAAGACACTAGATAAACAAATCGACACACATCATCTTTTTGTCGACTTCGACGCTGCTTCTGATAGCACGAAGAGAAGTTGCCTGCGTAATGCCATGTCTAAATTTGGGATCTCCGCAAAACTAATACGGCTATGTACACAACCTTCAGCTCCGTCCAAATTGGGAAGGACCTCGCCCCGCCGTTTGAGGCCAAATGAGGTTTTAGACAAGGCGATTCACTCTCGTGCGACTTTTTCATTCTGATGCTGGAAAGCGCTATAAGAGCTGCCAATATACATATGTATATATCGACATCGTCGGTCTGAAACAAAAGGATGCGCAGCATTTTCCAGTGTAGAAAAGCAAGCTAAAGAGGTCGGTCTTGCGGTGAATGAAGACACTACAATGTAGCTGCTGTCAATATATAAAAAGAGTCCACACGTCACTGCTGGCAGCTATAACTTTGAAGTAGTGAAGAAGGGCTTTGTCTACCTAGGATTCAGCATAACGTCAAATTGGAGAACAAGCAAGGCAAAACTCTTGCCAAAAGGTGCTACTTTGAGCTCGGTAGGCAATTGAAAAGCCAAGCCCTCTCTCGACGAACAAAAATTACGCTCTACAAGGCATGCCAGTTCTTCTAAGTACATATATAGCGCCGCAACGTGGACGATGTTAAACAAAGAGGAGAAGAATTCAGATGCTTTCGAGAGAACCATTCTGCGAAAGGTCTACGGCTCCGCTCGCGTGGACGATGGGCATAGGAGAAGATGTAATGACGAACTCTATGAGCTTTGTAACGACATGGACATCGTTAAGCGCATCAAAATACAGCGATTGCGCTGGCTTGGTCATGTTGTACGCACGGATGACGAGGCTCCGGTAAAAATATCCTTCGACTCCTCACCCATGGGTGGACAATGAAAGCAAAGGCTCCCACGAACAAAATGGAAGGACCAAGTGCAGAAGGATCTGTCTGTTCTCGTTATGAGCAACTGGCGCAAATTTGCAAGGGGAGATGCAATTGGAGAAGCTTTTTGGTCTCGGCCCAAACCGGCAAACGGTTGTGGTGCCAAATATGAAGAACAAGAAGAAGAAGAATTATCTATATGGCAAATTCCCTGTTAACCGAATCACGAGGTTCGAAAAATGTTGAGACGCTCACAGATTTCACTTTAACGTTTGAGATCGGCTCTCTTTCGAGTGCTTTGTTTATTTACTTTGGTTGTTGGTGACAGTCATGCTGACAAGTAATTACGCAACATATTAAGCTAAGCATGTATGTGTGTATACTTTTGCAATTTATAATTTTCAAACTATTCTCCGCAGTAAATCAGGACCTCCGGTCGTTAAAGTATTTGCTATTAATTATTTAACTACTCGTATTTAAATGCTAATAAAGTGATATCCTTAAACTGCTAAAATGTCAATGCGATAGGTAATGTATGTGTGGGTAAAACTTTTTGAATTTTCGCGTGCTTATAAATTTGTGGGAATTATATGTAGATAAGTGAATGCATACAATTTAATATTGCACATACTTATGTACATATATACATATATAGCAAATATATTAAAGTTATCATTTTTTTGTGGCATATGTATCAACGTGTTATAATTATAAATTTCTGATACATTTAAGACAGCTTATAACTGTAATAAATTTTCGCACTTAACTGATAATTTTTTTTTTTAATTACAAACTGTACGAATTTACGCTAATCGAGCAAACTTAACGCCATTTCAGCAACATTTACATATTTCAACTCCCTAAGGCTACTTATTCATTTATACTTATTTGTATATGTACTAGAAATAGCTATATAATCGTATTTACCTAGGCGAGTGGATACGTACCACATACAAATACAGTGTACACAAAAAGTATAAGTACACTTGTATGTCGCTTCTAAGTGTCATTAAAATTTGCTATTGTTTTTAGCTTGATGCCTGCTTTAAGTTTTCAATCGAACTATATTTCAGTTATTTTAGAGCAATTGCTTTTGTCGAATCGGCGCATTTTCTTCCAGTGATTCCTATTTAACCTCATAGATCAGTGCTACAGACATGGCAGCATTGATGATGAGCACCTCTCTCTCTAACATCCGCCTATCCTTTCTTCTCTAATTAACGGCCAACTCGAAATAAGTTCAAGAATATTCAAGATCCTTCCAAAGTCTTAAATAGCTCATCATCAATCTCTAGTGGCCACTGGAAGAAAGCAGTACCACAGCCGTAGCCACGCGTCAGGGATGCAAGTTAGTTTAGCCGAAATATCAACATTTTGTTTCACCAACGACGAAGGTCGATTAGTCAAAAAGCCATTCTCCCCAATGAAATAAGCAGCTGGATTTTAAAGTATTTGGCAAAAGGCAAGACCAGATTAAGTTACCATCTCGTTTCTGAATACGGTAGTACCACTAGCGAAGCCATGGGAACCATATAAATTAAGAGCTTTCGAAATGGTCAGTTGCGCTACACAAACTCGACGAAAAATCTCATTTGCACCTCAGTGAATAACCTGAGTAGTCATCACTGATCGATGACATTTCGAGATCAACTTATTGACCGGTGCTTTTAAATGCCTTAGCGCGATACTCCCTCCTCCACTAGAAGGCATTTCTCTAACCTCATTCGCCGAAGGCTAGTTGTTTTTGGCGACGGGAAATGCTATCTCTCATAATTATACCGCTTCATCACTGATCTAAATACTTTTCAAGACGATAGAGTCAAGCTTAATAGATCAGTGAAAGAAGAATACCCTCTCTGTCGATATCGTTAATTTAACTCGATTTATTCGACAACACAGTACAATAAAAACTATTGACGGATGCCTTCAGCTTGCGTGGGAACACCACATGCACGAAGAAGTCCCTATTCAAGGAATCCCTATTGGTTGTTACCCTAAAGATCCCGCCAACAGGCACTTGTTCGTAGTCAAGTCAATTATAAGGCACCTCAGAACATTACACAAAACGCATCTTTATGACCAGTTTTAGCAGTTCCTATGACTTCAGCTGATTAAGTTCGATTACAGACAGTCTATAAAGGCTGTTCATAGGTAGACAATTCGCACCTTCCTCAACTCTCATCCTATAAATGCCGTAATCGGAATGGAAACGTAAGCTATCACAGACCGACAAGACAAGCTCGAGTAGCACCGGCGTATCCAATTTACTTTAGCAAAACTCCTTTGCGGATATTGACGATAACATTCCTAAAAGTATAGATGTATGTACTTTGGATATTCATCTAAGCTATTAAGATGAATATCCAAAGTATAGATGTATGTTAGGAATGTCAATAAACTAAAGGACCACAGGCCATATGAGCTCCCGGTTTCGCGTGCTCTGTGAGGATTTCTTAGTTTCTGAATATCTCACAGATTTTTGGAGTATCCATTCCTTGCCTTTCGGATGACTGAAACACCAAAAAGGTATAGAGTTTAGCAAAATGTCCACTTTGGTTGTGCATTACTATTGCATGGATGATTGGTTTCATAGAACATCCTTAGACTTGGCGCTCATGAGTGTATAGTGAAAACGTGGCGACCACGAACTCAATAAAAGGACCAAAAGTGAAGAAGGACTTGTGAGTACTTAGTATGAATATTTGGCGGAACTTGGCTAAGACAAATTTTTGCTGGTTGTAGATCCTCTGGGCTCTATTCTGCAAATATTTTGTTGAAAGATACTGTAATCAAAACCAGCTAAATCAGTTAAATCATTTTATTTGGTTCGATTTCAGTATGGAGGCTAATAGCCTGTTTCCAACAAAAGCTTAACTGCTGTTAAGAGTTATGGCAAGTTTCAAGAATTTCAACATGGGGTGCTCATCAAGGTCTGTTTCTTACTTTTTGTTTTACGCTTTCGTTTGCTTCTACTAATATTTATGAGCAGCTCTCTTCGAGTTGTAATGTACGGACCTACCTGAAGACGCATACTTTTTGTGCACACTGTTTTCAATTCATTTCATCCAATCGGCTCAGCAGTTAAATACTATGTTTTGAACATTCCAACATTCACAAATCACAAAGCAACATTTTTTTCAAATCAACTTTTCAATCTTAGCTCATCCGCCTAATTAATTTTATGTATATCCACTTATAAGTAAATATTTACGTTTTGATTTTTTCTTCAAGTTTATAGTAAAATCGTTTGCAAACTACATACATACATTTTTTTATTATTTCGTTTGCTTTTGCCGGCCATAACGATTACCTAAATTATTTTTTCGTTTTTCGTTTTTTACATAGATGCCGTTTGAATGCCCGCTTGCGGTGATGTCGATTGCTGTGGTGAATTTTGGCTGCTCACTCCTGCCACCGCTGGTGGTATGGCTACGACGGTGTTTTGTTGCGCGGCGTTTTGTTGCGCCGTTGCCTCGGTTGTCTTCAGGAAATAAGTTATCAAATCGATGGGCAATGGGAAAACTATTGTTGAGTTCTTTTCCGCCGATATTGTATTGAGAGTCTGGCGCCGGAAAGGGTTGTCATTTAAATTTTAGTTTAGATTGTTTTGTTTTTGTTAACTCTAAATTTACCTGTAAGTAACGCAATTGTAGCGCTGCTGGTGAACCTCCAATGACTTCAGAGGCTTCGCGTAGTGCCTTTGATGCTTTTTGCTCTCCTTCAGCGGCAATAACTTTGGCGCGTGCTTCACGAGCTGCTTCAGCTTCGGCTGCCATAGCGCGTTGCAGTTGTACTGGTAGGCGTACATCCTTACTGTAATAGGGAGAGGGAGGAAAATATGGGTTGGTATCAGAGGATGTACAATAATGAAAAATATACATGGGCATTAAAAAAAGAAAAATTATATACATTTAAAGCAGCGACCGTACCGTGGGTCTATTTTAGTTATAAAAAAGAAAGTCAATAAAACAATAAGTTATAGTTTTTTAGCACATTGAGTTGGAAAACGAGTAAGTATTTTTGATTTTTAAGACTAAAATAAAAACAACATTTTCTTCATATTTTCGAACCCAATAATAGCCGGGGTTGTATGTTTTTATTTTTCGATTTTAAGACAGCCACGATTCACATTAGTGTACCTTCCAATTTCAAGGTTCCTAAAAAATCCTGTATAAAACACAGAAAATCCGAAACATGAGAAACACTTATAAGTGTTAAAAGTGCGAAAAACCATTATAGGAATTCCGAAAAGCTATAATATATATTCCCGGAAGCACCTAAGAAGTTTCGAGCAAATCCGAAAGTTTTCGCATTTTTCCACCCATTTCCATTTTTGGACAAGTCCACGTATATGTATATTAGCAAACTGAAAAGCGTGCAGCACGCTGCTTTGATATTGAATTATAGGGACTTCAGCTCCACCTCCAGCAGGGTTCTAGAAACTCTATATATGCAAATTTTCCTATCGACCTTTATGGTACTCGAAGATACCGAAAATTCTAACGTCACGAAAGAATGAAATTTTTTTATAAAAGCTGCTAGCTCATTAAAGTTAGTACCTAACAAAATATCGATAACAAAACTGATAAAAATGTCGGTAACAACATAGATAGTAACATCTAACAAAATATCGATAGCAAAACTGATAAAAATATCGATGACAAACTCGATAAAATTTCCGATAACAAAATCGATAAAAATACCACAACAAAAAAAAACAAAAGCGATAAATAATCGATAACAAAATCGATGAAAATATCCATAACGAAATCGATAAAAATCGACAAATAATCGATAAAAAAATCGATAAATAATCGATAAAAAGGACGAAAATAGTCGATAAAAAGATCGATAAATAATCGATAACAAAATAGGTAAATAATCGATAACAAAATCGATAAAATATCGATAACAGAATCTCTGAGGAATTCGGTAAAAATTTCGATAGCGAATTCGATAATAATATTGGTAGCAAAGTCGATTGAAAAATCAACAAAAATATCTATAATCGATTAGGAAATCGATAAAATTATCAATAACAAAATCGTTAACAAAATCGATAACAAAATCGATAACAAGATTGATAAAAATGTCGATTAATATATCGATAAAACCTGAGAATCCCGAAAATCTCTAAAATCCCAAAATAGTTCCCAGATTAAGTCACTGTGTCTCTATATTTATCCTCTTCTCTTTAATCTATAAACTTGATCTTCTTGGTCTCCCACCTAATTTTCTACGTTGGATCTCTTCATACCTCTATGATAGATC